TCTGACGGGTACCAGAAAAGAGAATACAATGGGACCCAGGCTCGGCAAAACTCGGTGCGCAGTGAAATTCAGGGTCGGCAAGAACAGGCTCGGAGGTAGTGGTGGTTAAAAGTTTTTAAGTCTTAAGATCACGCAAAAATCCGGACCGTCGGCCCGGTAGGACCGCGGGCGGCCCAAATTGGCCAGTTCTCACGTTGCCGATTTCTGAAAGTGTAGGGAAATGCCATAGCTGCATGCGGAGCATTTTCTGCCAATCAGGTTCAAGAGGGGCTAGGTGCGCCTATAAGGACTCGGTGGCACCGGTGACGAAAAGAAATTAGTACTGGATGTAACAACGATGCGTAACAGCACGACCAAAAGAGATTATCTCCATTGCCTCCCGCTGCTAAATGATCAGGCTTGCCAACACATGCCTATTTCAGTGCCTGTCCTGTTGAAGTTCTATGCATATGCACTGTGTTCTTCTGGATTCAGCACACAGACTCCTTCCTCTTCCGCTTGATCAACGGCACCTTCTGCTCCACCTATCACATTGCCACGGCAGGAAGAGAGAGGCCCCACTGCTAAATGAATAGAAAGCGAGTAGGTTTGCCCGTGCAGATATCCAATCACCAACTGACAATCAACTGAAACCCACAGTTATGCGGGGATTTGTGTCCTCGGCATGCCCACAAGGGCCCCCCGCTGCAAGCATAGTGCCCGCCCTAAGTGAAGGCGGGCCCCGTATCTCAAAGAGGCCTGAATATTGCAAAATTTGCCTGCCTTGGAGGGCGCCAGAGAGTTGCCACGCGCCAGTTGGTTACATGTGCCCTGCTCTAGAGCATCAGAACCTCCGTGAGCCTTCCAGGCTCTTCTACTCTCGAGGCCAATCAGAATGCAGGGAACACCTTGCTGGGTGCTGGGTGGTTGGGCGCACCTAACTGCTGCGGGCCCAGGTCACTGTCTGAACGGGCCTGGGGGCAGACACTTTGGCCCAACGTGAAGCTACTGGAAGCACGCCCCCCCAGCCAAGCAGCCTGCAAGCCAGACCACTTTCCATGCACGAAAGATCCTGGCCACGAAGGAGGCATTTGGGCACTTGCAAGTTGGACGGCAGTGCTGCTGGACAGTGCGCTGAAGGCCGCTAGCGGGCAAGGCTCGGGCGTACGCAGGCGCAGGTTGAGGCGAGGGCGCTGCTAGTGAGCAGTGCCATAGGCCGGGCCACCATAGCCAAGATTGGCAGACATAGCTGGCAGGGGAAGGCGGTGGTACTTGGATGGTGATGGGACATGGGCGGAGAAGACAAGGGTGAGCATAGAGAGGGCGAGTCAGAGGAGATGTGAGAGCACATACCTGGTCCTGGCAGAGATCTGCATGGTCGACATCTGCAGGTACTGTGGTTGCTGCTGCTGACGTCAACTAGTTGTTTTGTCATTTCGTAGGCTAGTATAGTAGCTGTGTGATTGTAGTCTGGGCGCTGAGCGCCAAGTAGGAGGAAAGGCTCTGGAAACATTGTTGGTGGCGGTGAAAGAGTGCTCTCATTGACAATTGAGATCGGTGCTCTGGTTCTTCTTTGGTGCGATGTCAGTGCATTTCTCCTTTCTGGACAGCTTTCGACTATCTGGCTTTCAATGTGATTTTGCAATTTGGAGTTCTTTCATTTCACTATTGCTCATTTTCCTTGCAGTTAGGTCCATGACCGTCAAAATTGTTGGTTCCTTTCATGGGGGAGGAAGGAGACTGGAGATGTGTGTCATGGGCTGAGAAATTCAGTGGAACAGAAAACAGGGACAAAGAGATTTTTTTTCATCACAGCGGTTACCTCTGCCGCCAGCGGCTCAAGAACCTCTGGAATGATGTCATCTGCACCATCACCAAGTTCATCGATCGCTATGAACACACCAGAGGTTTCACCTGTAGCTCCTTGTCCAGACATTTTCTTGCCAATGCAGCTGCGAACAGCTAGTTGTGGCAATGCCCCATCACCACATTCACCATCGAGTCCACCAGCATCCATCACAACAAGTGCCTGCTGCGCCAAAAGTGGAATTGCATCTACCATGTCACCCCAGCATGAACTTTCCCTTTCTGATTCACCTACCGCTGCTGGCGAAGCAGCCGCAGCAGTTCCTAGTGCACCGTCAGGCACTCCAGCATGAGCCACCTTTGATGATCGGCCTCCAAATACATTTTCTCCTCGACCTACACTTGCAGTCCAAGCTGCCTGTTGTTGAGCTCCTTGAACAAGACATCTTGCCCCCACTTTGTGATCACTGCTTGATTTTGGATCAGAAGCCGCACTCTGATTCCTGTCAATTGGATAGACATTGGCATTTGAGGCCATCCCCCGCACTCCAACTTCAGCTTTCACGATCCCAGGCCCAGGCCTTCCATCCAGTTTTCCAGTTCCACTACCACTCATGCCCAAGCCAATTCCAGCAGTCCCCATACTCGAACCCAAACCGAGTCCCAGGCTAGCCCCTCCACTGCCTCTTGATCGCAAGCCATCCTGCACTTGCCTTGCCAGAAGCATCTGGCTGCCAACAGCCAAAGGCTCTTGAGCACTGCTGCGAGCTGGCTCTCCAACGTCCCTCCATTCACCAATCTCCACCTTCATCTGCACCATTGCTTGGCCTTGCACACTCCTGGAAAGCTCCTCCTCACTATTGCATTGTGTCCATCCCTTCCCAATCTGAGCATCCTCCACAGCACTCCCACTCCCTTTTCCACTATGTGACAGTGGAAAAACTTCCTTGCTAGGGACACTTGGACAGTTATCCCCCCCAAGGTTCCCACCAGCAGCTCTCTCACGTTTTTCCATCTCTTGTACAAGCATGACTCGTGCACGCTCACAAGCACGTACAAATAAAATCATCGACTCTATCTCTGATGCCACTGCTGGTGGCCTGGGTGTAGTTGCAAGGTCAGTGGAGTTCACGATACCATCTCTAGACACCCCCTCCCATGGCCCTGTCTTTCCAACACTGAAACCACCATTGGATTTCTGCTTGGTTAAGCGGTTGGAAACCTCTTTCACATCATTCTGTCTAGCATTTGTGCCGCCCTCCAGCAGAGACTGTGACGCATCCAACTCCACCGCTTTGCCACTGTGGATTTTCCCATGCTCAGCACTGCTATTGCTGTGCTCTTGCTTCAGCTTCGCCATCTCTGCTGCTTCTTGACGACCTACAACACTGGATGCCACACGTGTTTGGAGAGTTCCCGTAATTTGTGCCGTTCGCTCTGCCAACCCTATCTTCCTTCTCTGGAATCGTTCGGTGCTTCCTGCAATTTGACTGTGGCCAAGGATATCTTTCGGTGTTCTTTTCCTTCCCTTGTCTCTTGATGTTGGCAGTGCAGCAGAATATATGTACCCTTTCCGCTTAGCACACTCATCCATCCATGTCTTCACAACTTCAGATGGTGTGTACTGAAACTGTACATCAGAGCTGCTCCCTCCACCAGAACCTGGTCTTCCCTCAGCCATAGGTTGCGGAAGTTTGACAGCTCGATAACTTGGTGGACAAACGATAACTGCCTCACACACCCTTGGGTCACTCATCGACATTGTCATGCCCTGATTGGCTACAGATATTCCAGACTCTGGTGTCATCGGTGCAATCAGACCTTTTTCTGTCTCAGCATTCAACAACTTTTGCCCATCCAATTCAATTCCTGGAATTTCTGTGTTGCAGTCTAGCAGAGGTTGCCGAAGTTGAGATTTTGGTGAGATGTTCAGTTGCGTGTCTGGTGGCTGCACTCAGACCAAAACAACAGCAAAGAGGACAGATTGCCTAAGCAGAGATTTTCCTCAAGTTTCTTGTTACAGCTGGGACATCCCCCGCCAGCAATCATAAATGTATACAATGTACCCTATATATACACATGAAATGGGACTGGGTGACACATGTAGAGGTGACACTGCAGTGACTGCACCTATATATGGTCACAAATATGAAGTAAAAGAGCGCACTTTGCAAAACAAACGGTAAAAATAAACAAAACAAGACCAACATGAAGGGCACACTGAAACCATTCATCTATCTCAGTCTTCTTTTAACTCCCTCTTCACCGTGCCTCTCAAGTACAAGGCTCGCCACATATATAAAGTTGAGCGCGAGCTGCACGCATCCCCGTGTGCCATAACGGCCCGCTTGTAAGCTGTGAGAAAGAGGCAGAGTAAAGGGGGAGGGGATAAACGCATGGAAAGAGATGGAGAGAAGACAAATGTTAGGACCTGCCAAACACGGACTGAGACACAGCTGATTTCTGAGTTTTGCCAATGGAATGCATGCCTTGCTGAGTTTCCCATTTGTTGCTGAGTTTTCTAAGTCTGAGTGTGTGTGTGCTTGCTGGTCTGCATGCCTGTCTGAGTGCTTGTCGGTTTGGGTGTGTGTGTGACCCGCGAGGGTACTTGTCCGTGTGGAAGTATGAGTCTAGGGCCTGTACGGGCAAAATCAGAGTCTGCAATGATGTTTCCCTCCGAACGGGAGGACGTACCAGTTGCTTGGAGGCAGCGCGGCCTAGGAAGTCACTTGCCAAGAGGCGAACAGGCCGCTATATCTCCAGGATCATTCTTCAGTGTGCAAGTTTGGCGACATACTGCTTGGAGTGCTGGCTGGAGCAACGCTGCTCGGAGCAGCGCTGCAGGGGAGGACAGAGTGCCCAGCTCTCCTTGCGGCTATGGTGGAGGAGCACGGGCTGGAGGAGGAGGAACACGAGGACTAGGAAGAGGGAGGGAGAGTGCCAGAGGTACTTACCGGCTATTGATACATGCTCAGTCGAGCAATGTATGGGAGCCAAGGATCCACAGAGTGATGAAAAGGACTCGAATTGACAATGCAGTGTCGGCAAAGCATCAACAAGCAATGCACATCTAGATACATATGAGAATAGCATAATGTACAATGTAGCGTGGTGGAAGACTCAATGATATGACCTGACCTGTCAGATACTGATGCGACACCCCATCATACACCACAAACAAGAGAGAGAGAGAGAGGAGGGACCACATACATAGAAGAAAGGTCCCTCCTTGATCATGCAAATGGGGAGGTACCACGGATGAGGAGATGAGGGGCCATGGATGAGGAGATGAGGGGGAGAGGCGAGACGAAGATGGAGATGAGGGAGAAGACCAAGATCGCAATAGCGAAGTCCAAAAATAGTCTCCCTGCCAAATGTCCAATCAATGTCTGCCACAAAAATGTCGAATGAGATCCTGGGCTTCATGCCCAATGCAATCAGATTCGCTTTCTTCTTCACTTCGCATACATGCAAACAGATGGCAATTCACACTGGTGCCAAGCGCCCACTCAAAGTTCAGAGATATGGAAACCGTGAACACAGTTCAGATGCAAACTCACTTCAACAGGCTATGGCGCATCAGCACCTGTACATCCCAACTCTTGTCGCTGTATCCAACACCACTGTTTGCACACACTCAACTCTGGATCACCCTGAGTACCCCACACGCGCTAACTGTATCACACACACGTACACACACACTAACACCTAACACTAGCTATGGCGGCTATGGCCGCCGGCTACAACTAACTATACAACAAACTATGGCACACTAACTTCTTCAAGCCCACTTCGACCTCGGGCACCTGCAGACCACCTCGCACAAGACGCTTGGGCGAAACTTCCGCATGGCTCAAACTGGGATGAATGAATGGCTGGAAGCTGCCTCTTGATTTATACTTCTGTAAGTCGCTGGTCTGCCCTTTTCCACCGGGCCCATGGTGCACACAGTCCCTCATGGTACTTGATGACTGTACAAAGAAAGACTGGGACTGGGTACCGCTGACTAAGCGAAGTTGGACTCACCATTTGCCCACTTGCCTCTGGTCTGCTGTGTATAACATGAGAAGAAACTTGAAAGGCCACTTCCGGACCTTCCGAAAGTCTGTGGACTTGGCCTTTCGGAAGTGTAGCAGCTACGACCTTGACCTTTCACGACTGTAGCAGCTACGACCTTGACCTTTCAGAACTCCAACAGCTATGACCCCTACGCAGGTATGACCCCTGCTTCGACAGGTCTAAAGTTCAAGACCCGACAACTACTCAGACCTACGACAGACATCTTCCAACTACTAACACACAGGTCACAGGCTCAAGACACACAGGGTCGACTCGATACTGTACACAGGTAAGGTGAGGTAAGGTAAGGTCTGGGGATCGAGCCCTGGGATCCGCATCTGTGACTGAAAAAGGTGAAAACCATTTCACTCCCGCCGGCCTAAATTCGAGGTCCTCCGAGAATATTCCTGTTCGAGGCTGGACCTCTCTTGTCTCTCTCTTAGGTGCGAACTACCTCGGGAGCAGTCTCAAGCAGTTTTGTTTGTGTAAACCAGCGGTCGTCCTCTGGTTCCTAAAAAGCGAACCTGACATTATACTGTTTCTGTGGACGACCCCTACCTCCAGTTCTGAAGACATCTTCACCTACGACGCCGTCAATGTCGTACCTTCCATACATGTCCGGAGGGATCATGGACCTCCGTGACGGAAATTGTTGACTTGTGGTACAAGGCAGCAACTTTGACGTATGAAACACCGGGTAGGTGTGGAGGTGTGCTGGAATCTCGACTGTGTAGGACGGTCCATCCTGTCCGCCCTTGACTTCTAAGACTGGTCACGGTCCTTGGTATGCAGGCAGTAACTTTTGTGAGATGTTCTCCTCAGGAGCAAACTCTTTGGACTTGACCCAGACTAAGTCGCCTACTTGAAACTGTGATGGGCACGGTGCTTATTGGCTTGCTCTATCATTCTATGCTGGGCCTTCCTGAGGTTCTCTGTGACGGTAGCAATCTCCTCTTCGTAGTGTAGTGCAAACTCCCTAGTACCGGGCAGTAGCCTTTGAGTCTGATCCCGGTCCAGCCCCTCAAACGGTCTACGCGGTCTAAAGGACTTACGTAACTCGTTGGGAGTGCGACACGTCGCTAAGTGCACGCTGTTATTGTACGCGCTGGCTACCTTGGGAAGCATCTCGTCCCAGTTAAGCTGATCAGGTCTAATATACATTCTGAGAACTTTGCTGCAGGATTTTGTTCATCTGCTCAGTCTGACTGTTAGTCTCAGGATGACGGCCAGATGACAATAGCAAAGACTCTCATCAACTCCTGCCAGTTCTGACTAAACCCGGTATCTCTGTCACTAACTATTGACAGCGGGAGACCATGTTCACTGACCCAATGATCAAAGAACTTGTCTATAACTAAATCTGTTCCTGCCTCTGCAGGTAAAGGAACAAAAACTGCATATTTACTAAATCTATCAACTATAACCACGACTTGGCTCTTGCCATGCCTACTCTTGACCCCAACATCCATAAAGTCGATGGACACAGAATCTTTGTGTCCTGTGGGAATAGGCAAGGGTCTGAGAAGACCAAGAGGGGCTCGTGTAGTGGTCTTATTCTGTTGGCATACCTTACAATTGCGTACATACTCTATGCAGTCGGCCTTCATACCTGGTCACGTATACGTGCGAATAAGGTTGGCTAACGTCTTCTGCCAACCAAAATGTCCCTCTGTGTCGTGGCATTCCCCTAAGATCAGAGTACGGATCTCTTCACTGTTGGGAACGCATAAATGATCGGCTACACTAGTCTTCTCGAATAACAACCCGTCTGTAGTGTAGTAATCTGGTGCAGTCTCTGAAGCCTCCCTAACTCTTTTGAGGAGATCACTATTAGATAGGGCCCTGTGCATACGCTTCTTTGACTTTCTGTTGCAAGTCTCGTCCTATATCCAGATAATGAACTATTGCTCGAAAGTAATCAGCCCTCCTACCTAGAGCATCCGCAACTACATTAGACTTTCCTTTAACTGGCTTGAGCTGAGCTCAAAGTCGAATTGGTCTACCTATGTGGCCCACCTAGTAAGCTTAGGTGTCATCTTGGCCTGCGTCTTCAGCCACCTCAACGTCTCGTGGTCTGAATAGACTTTGAAGTGCCTCCCAAGCAAGTAATGCTTCCAATGGTCTAGATCTTGCCTAAGAGCGTAGAGTTCTCTCTCGTAGGTAGATGTCGCAACCTTCTCTGAAGGCATCTTAGCGGACATGAACTCTACGGGTCATCATCTTGCTGTAACACAACACCTATCCCATACTGACTTGCATCAATGGTGACAACAAAAGGTAAAGATGGATCAGCTACCTTGAGGACTGGATACTCTATCAAGGCCCGCTTTAACTTTTTTAGGGCCGAAGTACAGTTTCTATCCCATTCCCAGATTGCTTCTTTCTTTAACAACCTGCGAAGGGGTGCAGTGATAGTGGATAAGTTCCTCACAAACTTTCTATAATAGTTGGCTAGGCCTAGAAACAGCTGCAATTTTGTCAATGTGCGGGGCGTTGGCCAATCCTTGATCGCTGCTATCTTACTATCCTCAAGTTTTATGCCATCGAAGACGTGGCCCAGGTACAAAACTTGTGTCTTGGCCCACTCACACTTCTTTGTGTTGATCTTGAAGTTAGCTTCTCTCAGCTTCTCCAAGACCTGCCTCAAATGACCCTCTTGCTCCTGGAGGGTCTTACTAAAGACTAGGATATCATCTAGATATACAACTAGGAATCTATCTAACCATGGCCTAAACAAATCGTTCATACAACACTGGAACGTAGCTCACGCATTGGTTAGTCCAAAGGGCATCACGATTAACTCATAGTGCCCATATCTAGTCCGGAATGCCGTCTTGTACTGGTCGTCAGGATGTACCTCTATCTGATGATAGCCAGATTTTAGATCTATCTTAAATAAATACTTGCAACCCTGCACCCAATCCAACAAATCATCTATGCGGGGCAGTGGTTCAACATTCTTCACGGTAACGGCATTGAGACCCCTATAGTAAATACACATGCGAAGCTCTCCTTCCTTCTTGGGAACAAAAAGAACAGGCACTCTAGATGAAGACGAACTGGGCCTAATCCAACCCTTCTCTAGGAGCTCATCTAACTACTTACGCAGTTCCTCTTAACTCTTTTGGGGACATTCTGTACACGGATTCCTTAGGAGTTCTGCTGCCAGGCTCTATCTCGATGCGATGCTGGATCGGCCGCAGCACTACTCCTGCAGGCGGCTGGGCTAAATCTGTATACTCCTCCAGCAACTTGGCAATGACTGGCTCCATTGGCTTCTCTTCCTTAGGCTCAGTAACAAGCCTAACATAGGCTACAAAAACCTGCTCTTCTAATTGCTCCTTCCTCACTAATCGTGCAAACTCGGGAGCACTGAGACAACAATGTGCCAGGGAGTTGTCTACTCCTAACACATGAAACAGGCGAGCAGTCTTTACTTCGCTTGATGGGCTAGGGAGCCTACACTCGTGCTCTCTCAAGTGGAGTGTGGCCCCTGCTGCCTCTCCCCAGTCCATTGTGCTCTCTCAAGTGGAGTGTGGCCCCCCCTGCCTCTCCCCAATCCATTCCTAGAACCATGTCGAAAGGAAGGTTGTCCTCTACGAGGAGAGTCGGGGAATGAGAACTTTCTCCACATTTCCATTCTTCACTAGGCAAAAATATGGCTGGACTCGCTTTACGTAATCCTTGACTCGCATAGCGCGATTGTCTCCGAGGATACCGACTATAGGATCTTCTAACTTCTGGACTTTAAGATTTAACTTCAGCTTCTGCAACGCTTTCCTGCTGATATAGCTGCGGGTGGCCCCACTATCTATAAGGGCCCCTACTCTACCACACTTCCACTGGTTCCCTGTCCTGGGACAAGGGCCCGTTCTGATCCTACTCCTTTGTCCTCATCTTCCCACTTCTCCGTTTTCGACTTTTGCAATGAAAAAAAAAGAAAAGAAAAGAAAAGAGAAAAATAGAAAAAAAGGATATGGAATCAGATGTAAGTCAACATACCTCTCCGATATCTGCTTCAAAGAGCAAGAAGAATGAAGAATCGTTATATTCTCCCGGCATGGGACCAACAGCCCATGGAAGTGTATCACCTTGTGCCAATTCTCCTGACCCTTCCATTTGTAGTATATCCAACGGCCCAAGGTCTGCTCCACATGAACCAGGAGATGTGACTTGATCTGGAAAGTCCAAACCCAAAGGTCTATTGCATTCTCTCGATACGGAAGCAGCTGAGAACTGTTTGTTATCATGGACAGTATCCGTGCCTTCAGTGCGGGGCAATTTTGTGGGAAGGTCAAATTCCAGTAAGAAGTCGTCACCAATATCATCTCCTTTACGCTTGTTGAAGTCGGGCAGATCATCCTTTTCACACCAGCATCAACGTACAATCAGAGACCCAATGAGGAAGCAAAAACAACAATGAAGTAATTGTCAAATTACAGTACCAAAATCGTGGCAAAACGGGAAAAAGTCCAGGTAAAAAGCTTCCGACAAGAATACCAAAGGTAAGAGACTACACAAAGCAGCAAGTGGAGAGGGGAGAATCATAGAGGAAGTAAAGGGGACCGGTCATGGACTAAGCTACATGGTACAACCTATGTTCAGGGGAACCTGGCTTCACGCTGTCCTTTTCGTGTATTCAACTGTGATCAAGCAGATAGAGGCATCAAGGCAGGAAAGCAACCCTCAACAATGTTGAGCCCTCGACAGGTGGCGCCATTGCCGGGGATAGAACCCAGGTCTCCTGCGTGACAGGCAGGGATACCCACCTGCCGAGCACATCGGCTCCACCCTTTTCGCAAAGGAAACGGAGCCCTTGACAAGTGGTGCTGTTGCTGGGGGTCGAATGGGGAACTACTGCGTGATGCGGCTGGGAGGGCACCGTTTCCTTTGCCAAAAGGGGGAGCCGATGCGCTCAACAGAATCACGTGCAAAATGAACCGACAAACAAGAAATCGAGATAGGTCGATGAATCAGGAAGATAGTTACAATAAGTCTACCAACACATGAGAGAAGATGGGCCTTCATGAGGTGATGCAAGCAACGCCTGACCATTGCTACCACCTGCATGCATACTGCTTCCGAAGAGATAAAAAAGAAACAACAAGAACGAACCTGATCATCAGAAATGACTCCATTCATGTCTTCATCCCACTCAAAAGACTTTAGCACCTCTTCAACACCCATGTCAATGCTCTCACTAATGCCAGCATCCTCCCTCTCATCTACAAAGTCAAGATCAAGAACCCGGTCATTATCTTGCCCCTGCAAATGTAGACCAGCAATCACTTGTTCATGTGCATGAACAGATCCACCACCATCATCCGTGACAGCTCCCACACAACCATTTATGACTCCATCATCTTCAGCACTTGTTTCACTCTCGCTCTCGTTTCCAGTTTCACCTCCACTGCTCGTGACATCACTATTAGAGGTGTTACTACTGCCACTGCTGCTGCTGCTGCTGCTAGAGCTGTTGCTGTCTTCAACAACCTTCACAGCCTGATCTTCATGATGGTTCTTTGGTTGTGCAGCAATCTCTTCCTTGGTCTCCTTTACCTCTTCCTGCTGAGGTACCTTCTTCTCTATCTCTTCACCAACCTCTTCAAGTCTGCTATATCATGGCAAACATTCACAAGCACGGAGGGTGTAAATAAAAGCAATAACCAGCGCATGCTTACATTCACCAACCATTGGCCGAAGAACTTCAAACGACCACTTACATTAGGTACGCTGTTGCAGGAGAGAAAAGAGGTGATAAGAGTCCTTCAGCTTATAGCTTCAGTGACTCCAGTGATTAACAACACCAGACACAAACATCCTATGTCTCCTTTTCCAGCCTGCCATATCACAACAAACATTTATTGGCTCAGAGGGTGTGAGTCAAAGCAATAACCAGTGCCTGCTGCCGTTCAACAACCATAGGCAGAAGAACTTCAAACGCCAAATGGCATGCTCCTGTTGCATTGGATAGGCTGATGCAAGGAGACAATGAGGTGATGGAGTCCTACAGCTTATAGCTTCAATGACTCTAGTAATTAACAACACCAGGCAGACACAATTGAAAAAAGAGACAACAAAAGTCTAAACCCTTAGAAACGATCACATTGGCAGCTACAAATACGGTAGCGGAAGATCGGGCGAGAATGAATTAAGGGAAGCGAGCTCGGGCCAGAGCCCCTCAGGATTCATAGGAATAAGTTTCGCTGCTGGATAACAGTTCTGTTAAAGTTCACATGGGTAGAAACTATAAGCTGTTTAATTTTCGGCATATTTATTCAAAGGGAGTAGTTTTCATTCGGGGAGGGGGCTGTATCCAGTGTATGGGTTTGACTGTCAGTCGATCCTTACCAAAGGAAGTAATCAATGCTGCTGACGGGGTCCCTGGGATGTAACGCGGCGAAGCATCGAGTTGGGAGTCAACTTATACAAGGACGCTGGGTCCGGTTCCCAGCAGGTTCCGCGCCCCCAGGGATAGACAGAGGCTTGTTCTAGTGGAAAGAAAGGGAAAAAAAAGACTGCCAAATTTCAGTCTAATGTCAAATGCCAAAGAGAAAGTCAAAAGTCAGAGCAGCAGTCACGCACCTGACAGTCCTATAGGAAAATCAAGAGCACACAAATAGAGGCGAGTTCATCGGTCTAACCAAAAACGAACAGACATCTCGGTTGGGAATCGGCAGAGAAGGGTTCTTGGAGAAAAGATGAGGCAAAAAAAAAAAAAAAAAAAAAGAACATTGAGAGGGGAGGAGACGAATAAGGTGAAGTCTAAAGCAAATCATTGGTGTCGAAGAGAGGTACGTCCGCCAGTTCGGCTCTCTCTCTCTCTCTCTCTCTCTCTCTCTCTCTCTCTCTCTCTCTCTCTCTCTCTGTGGATATCGGCTGTCCTCTAGCTTTCAGTGAGTGAGAAGAAGAAGAGGAAGAGGAAGAGGAAGAAGGGAGAAGGGAGAAGGGGAAGAGGAGGAGGAGAAGGAGGAGGAAGAGGAGGAGGAGGAGGAGGAAGAAGAGGAGGAAGAGGAAGAGGAAAAGGAGGAGGAGGAGGAGGAAGAGGAAGAGGAGGAAGAGGAGGAGGAAGAGGAAGAGGAGGAGGAGGAAGAAGAAGAAGAAGAAGAAGAAGAAGAAGAAGAAGAAGAAGAAGANGAAGAAGAAGAAGAAGAAGAAGAAGAAGAAGAAGAAGAAGAAGAAGAAGAGGAGGAGGAGGAGGAGGAGGAGGAGGAGGAGGAGGAGGAGGAGGAGAAGAAGGAGAAGAAGGAGAGGAACGGATAATCATTTTTTTTCCTTATTCCTATCAACCAAGCTTTTTCTGTAGGAGAAGAAGAGGAGGAAGAAGAGGGAGAAGAAGAGGAGGAGGAGGAAGGACGGATAATCATTTTTCTTCCTTATTCCTATCAACCACACTTTCTGTAGGAGAAGAAGAGGAGGAAGAAGATTATTCCTATCAACCACGCTTTTTCTGTAGGAGAAGAAGAGGATGACGAAGAGGGAGAAGAAGAGGAGGAGGAGGAGGAAGAGGAAGAGGAGAAGAAGAAGAAGGAGAAGAACAAGACCAAGACCAAGCCGACGAAGAAGGAGAAGAACAAGACCAAAACCAAGAAGAAGAAGACGAAGAACACGACGACGACGACGACGACGACGACAACAACAACGATGAAGAAGAAGAAGAAGAAGAAGAAGAAAAAGAAGAAGAAGAAGAATGGTCTAAGCTGGAAGTGATTGCCGGTTGCATCGTCATAAGTGGCAGGCTAGTATAGGCTCAGAGTAGATGTAGGCTGCGCGCTGAGCACAAATCACGAGGAGCAACTTTGGATACATTGTTGATGATGGCGAGAAGAGGTTGACATTGACATTTGAGTTCACTGCATTTCATGGTTGCATCCCTGCCGACCGCCGACCCTGACCACCGACCGTATTGCAACGGACCAGTAGGGCCGACCGGTCGGCCGTCTGCCAACCAGTCAGAAAACAACTATTTTTTTTTCGGATCTAAGTTGGAAGCTGTACTGCGCTTGCTGAGTACAGCCCAAATCCACTGAGAAACTTTTGGGTTTGGGGGGGTGGGGGGGTGTATGGGGGAATATAGGGGGGTATAGGTGTGGTATCGGGGGTATTGGGGGAGGGTATGAGGGTGTTCAGGGCCGGTTTGTGGGTGTGCAAGGGGTGTATGGGAGTATTTGGGGTGGGTATGGGGGTGTTCGTGGGGTTATTAGGGGTTCTGGACCCCCCCCCCCAAAAAAAAAAAAATTGTGGGGTGCCGCCGACCCCCGACCGGTAGGTGCCGACCAGCTGACCGGTCGGCGGGTCGGCAGCCGATCAGTCAAGGGTCGCCGACGGTCGGGGTGTGCAACACTGCTGCATTGCTCTTATTTGGCTTGTATCTCAGTGCATTCTGCTTTCTGCTAGGGCCACAACTATCTGGTCTACAATGTGATGTTGCAATTTGGTTCTCAGTCTCTCGCCCTCACTCAATTTCCTTGCAAAACCTTCACTTTAGACAAAAGAAAAGGACAGACGTGTACAGACTAACCTCGAAAAGTCTTGGCCCCATCTTCCAAGACCAGCCAAATACACAACATTCTCGAAGAGACTTCTTCCACTCCAGCCCTGCAGCCAGCATCTTCACCAAAGAGCACCCAGAAGAACCCCAAGGCGGATACATTAAAAGATCAGCAAAATTCCATGATAAGACTGGGGGAGGGACGAGGGGAGAGGAAGAAGAAGCACACACACACACACACACACACACACACACACACACACACACACACACACACACACACACACATATCATAGAAGGAATCACACAAGGCCAAGATAACAGTGGAATTCTGGAGGTTCCCAAAGTGTCAATAATACTCAATATCCACATCATCTTGGAAACAAGCAACCGAAACTAGAATGATCAGGAACCTCCACACGGCTAAAGTGCTGTGTGTTTTCCCTCTTTGCAATTGTTGCCTACACCTCAACAAAAGGGAGAAGCTCATGAACAGAAGGGGGTGGGGAGGGGGAGGGGAGAGGGGGAAGATACATAGTCCATGAGAGCCAAAGGTGTCATGCCAGTGTGGACATTCCAATTGCTGGCTACTGTGCACTGAAGTGAAACTGGAAGCATCAGTGACTTATTGTCCATTGTGCGCACACAAAGGTACGATGTGATAGGGTTTAGGATTTAGGGTTTAGGGTTTTCACACGGCATTTTGCTCAGACGCTATCCCGAAACCTTTCTTGTCCAAACCACCAGTACACCCGGTCCTGGAGACGCTGCACTGCACGACAAGCTTTTACAAACCACCAGCGGTGCACTTTTTTTTTTTTTGGCTGGTGCCGCCAGCCATTGTGGTTGAGTAGGCCCGGGCCATGAATTTCGGACTAGGCGACCGAAAAAATCTACAGGGCTGGAGCTGTGTACTGGCGGTTTAGGCCACCAGTGGTTTCCAGCCTCCTTTCCCAGTTGCGGATTTTTGCCAGGTTCTAAGAAATCCGAATCATTGTGCATACGATGTGCCTGGCGCTGCCATCCTTTTCGCAACCGGAACTCAGAACCTTTCCACAGCCCCGAGTTAACCGGCAGTTGTTTTTCCAAAGGCTAGGAAGTTCGCTGGCGATTCATTGACTTCGTACCATCAGCAACCATCTTGTTGATTTTCTTCTTTTTATTTCTGTATTTCCTATTTTCTGTGCACTGCAACAGTGTTTAGTGCACCACACTAGTAGTGGCCTGGTACGTATATGACCAGAAGCTGTAGGTACCATCACAGCAATTGCAGGACCACATGAAGCACTGCTGCCAGTGTTTGGAGTGGGCCTCGTGGCCATATGGGGCCCCGTTGGGACAAAAGAAATCACAGTGAGAGAGTGTCACTGCACATTAAGCAGGTAAAGATTGGTTTTGAAAGATTGCCCTTGTGAACAATCTTACAGCACCAGTACACCATACATAGGCCCGTAGGGGTCAGCGTAGAACCCGCACCACTTCGGAGGCCGCAGATTTTTTTCCTCAACGGTGCCCCGGGCCACGCGAACCCTCCCGAGTTTTGCTTGGGCAGTGTACTGGCAGTTTAAACCACCAGTCCAACCGAAGCTAAATTGTTGAACCAAAGAATGCATTTTGCCAAGCCTGGAATCTACAGTGACAGCAATTTGAAGCTGGCGAAAGGTGGTATGGGTACCAGCAATGTGTGAGACAAAACGACAGGCCCAGAATCTGAAGGTGTCGCTCCACCAGCCACCAGATGCTCTTTGGTTCATGAATCCGCACCGAGAACATGGAAATAGACATCCCTATGAAATGTTGAAGCTACTTGGGCCTCGCCACACTACTCATGAATCCACCCTGCTGAGCTGGCAGGGCGGATACTTTAGGCTTTAGTTCCCCCCCCCCCCCCCCCCCCCGGGGCTAAGAGCACACTGGAGGTATTGGACCACGTTTTACAGCCGCAACCTCCATGTATCCGGCCCAAAGCTCCTATTGAAAGCACTACTGAAAAAAAAGAACGTACTACTACTGTGCCTCTGCCCTCGGTGGGCAGAACATCTGCGTATGAATCTGGCAGGGATTCGTTGCCAGATTCAGTCCACAAAGTTCCTCTGTTCGTCGACAGAAGCAGCCATCAGAGAGGGGGGGGGAGGGGGGGGAACAAAAAAACAACAAGAACGAAGAGAGAGCGATGACCTCGCAGTATTATCACTGAGCTTACGGGCCCTCAATGATGAGAAGTCCTGATGGCATCTGGATTCAAACTTAGGTCTGCATTTGAACACTTCACGGGTGGACCAACAGCCCACCCTGCCGAGCTGGCAGGGCAGTTATCCTGGGACAATCAGAACAAAACAACGAAACATACAGCCTTGCTCCACTGCACAACACACATCATGTATTTGGACGCATTCTGGGAAACATGCATTCGAACTAATTCAACATTTTGAATGTTTAGAGTGTTGCGTAGTGGAGAGAGGGCCTATGCCGTGGTGTAATGATTGCAAGGATGCACAGTGGCATGGTGTTTCCTTCTGGGCCCACCAACCTACCCCAACCGAACCCTCCCCCATGCCTGATCACTGTACATTTTGCTCCGGGATTCGTTCCCGAGAAAAATCTACAGTGACAGGGTGCTTGGACTGGTGGTTAAGCTGAGGCATAACACACACTCCTAAGAGTCAAGACAATGGAGAAGATATTCATGGGAGTCAGAAGGGTGGCGGGAAAGCGACAGTCACATTACTTCATCCGTATATGTTTATGCATGTTTGCCTTTGAACACTTCCCGAAGCAGTGCATCCTCACGAGGGTGACAGGAAAAGAACAAAGAAGTGAGTTCATCAGTATGCGACTGTCCACATTCGCCTTTGAACATTTCCGTACTCGCCACTTACCCTCTGTTGTATACGTGTGTGTCAATTGCCAAACTACCACCAGTTCATCTACTTTCTAAAACCTTGTAGATTAATGTGGGTGGGTGTGCACTATGTCCGTGTGACTGTGTTGGCATACCCGACTAACTTCAACATGCTCACAACACAAGCCCGTCCACTTCAATCAAC